AAGAAGTCGTCCGAAGAGAAGCCGACGTCGACTATAATAAGTATTGAAGAGAGCATCTCAACAGTCGTGGCCAACACTTACAGTCCATCGTCGACATCAGTAGCGTCTGAGCACCACTGGTCACCCGCACCCATACGTCTGCCCTCACCCACACATAAGTCATCCCAATTGCAAACAGTGTTATCCCCGAAACCACCCAAACATACACAACCCGTGCGTCCAAAGTGTGGAATGTGTGACAACAGAGCCGGTGATGACAACGAGTTGATCACGTGTTCGCTGTGCGGCATATCGGGCCACGCCATCAGTTGTCTCAACTGTTCCCAACAATTACTTAAACGAATTAAAGAGAGCTCCCGATGGGAGTGTCCCAACTGCAAGAAGTGCGGCATCTGTGGTGAGCCCGACATCGACCTCGTCATATGCATCGTCTGCGACCGCGGCTATCACTCCCAGTGTATTAAACTTCCCAACAATTTCACGGGTCTGTCATTCACTGCCTTTCTATCATTTTGTCATTAGTTTTCAAATGAGGTTTCNTGTGGTGAGCCCGACATCGACCTCGTCATATGCATCGTCTGCGACCGCGGCTATCACTCCCAGTGTATTAAACTTCCCAACAATTTCACGGGTCTGTCATTCACTGCCTTTCTATCATTTTGTCATTTTTTCAAATGAGTTTTCATTTTATGTGAATATCGCTTAAGGTTTTCGTGTTTTTCACGCAAACTTATGCAACCATTAAGTTATTCTGCATTTTATATAAGGTTTATAAATAATTTATTAAATAATTAATTTGACCTAAATTTAGCAAGCTTCAACTGCTGGTCAATTCGCATACGATATTACATAAAACCACATTATCTGAACCCTTTACTGTATTTAATACGATAGCATTCGAGTGAATACACTATTTTTTGCAAACTTTTTCATGATAGCATATATTTAATTATATTTGAGTTTATTTTAAATTAAATTTATTTAAATCTATGATAAGTCAGAGCTCCTGTAGTGTCAACTGTACTGTATGTGCACTACAAGTGCCGCATAGTTTCATTGGCGCCAACACTACAACAGTGAGTGCCAGGCGTGAGAGCACTGGTAGGCGAGCAACACCTGCACCACTCACTCGCTCGCACTTACAGTAATGTTTTCTTATGGCTTTAGTCATTGTAACAAAAAACAACACAACAACTGTTGTCAGGCACTGGGAGGTTGAGAGTAGTCGTCCACACACACGACTACAATAGCCTTAATTACAAGACAATTGAAACTAAATTTCGATAATTTTGAGACAAAAGTGGTCCAAATGTGACCTCTTATAGCGTCATATCGTATGCGAATGACTCGTGTGTCAGTCCATCACAACACCAAACGTTTACGAAATGTGTGTTATTTTGAGTCAAACATTGTTTTAGTTTTAGTTTTATTCACAAAACTATTCATATTTCAAGTCTATTTTGATGACACGTTTGGCTCAAAAACATTGCAATTATTATCTAATATGACAACAATATTAGACTAATAATGGGTTTATGAGTGAATCGATCAATGTTTGCCTATTTGTACACTAAATGTATTCATTTATGGCTTCAATGCACTGAATGTATTAATTGATGGCATATTGTCTGTGATTTAGTGTCGAAATACATCTGCGAAGACTGTAAACCCAAACCTGTGGTGAAGACATCGACGAAGAAGGCATCGCACAGTGTGTCCACTGTTTCGGTCCACACGAAGGCTGAGAAGCGGTTTGTGGCCGAAGAGTTGACATCTATTAAGCCATTGAAGGGTCAAAGGGTTGCCAAAAGCGCGACACAACTGAAGGCCGAGAAGTTGAGGAAAAACGCAGAAAAGGCACGAAAACAGAGGGAAAGGAGGGCTGCGATGAGACTTCGGGCGGAAGCCATCAAACACAAGACTACCACTAAGTATTGCATCAGCCGTTTGGCACTTATCGGAGATTTTAATGAATTGTTTTGTTGTGTTATCTGAAGAGCAAAACCCTCTAAACCGACGGAAAGCACCGCAAAGTCAGTGAAACGTAAG